ACAATAAAACTTAAGATTCATATACAAATATAGCACTTGAATGCATAATAAAAGCTAATACGGTGAAGAACGTCTAAGTTGTATTAAGAATATTCTACCAATAAAAACAAAAAATCACATAACGTTTAGAATGTTAACTTAAGCTAAATATGACTGAAAACCTCGAATTTCATAATGTCAACAAGTTGGAAATAAAATAAAACTAATAAGCTTAAAGAGGAATAAAGCAAAGATGGAAGGGTTGTAAACAGTCATTGCAAAACAGAAAATCATTAACTTTAACATTAAAATTATTTAAAATAAAATAGAAAACTTGAAAAAAGCTTGAAGCTACATGATCGTCAGAATACTTTCTGCTACAGGGAGTTGACATTTCAAATTTGCCCGGAAAATACAAAGTCTGTTGTCTTTTAAAATCTTACCGTTCTCAATTTATCGTTCAAGTAGGCGTCCCAGCTCATTTTAGTCGAACTATATACTGCTTAACCTTTCAAAACGATGGATTTTTCCAGGAATTTCGTCTACATTTAGAATTTTCGCAATCAAATCAAGACAAAATGGTGGACTCATTACCAGTCTTCACGGTCTWCATGACGTCAATGTTTATTTTGGAGATGATACCACAGGGACCCCAGTAAATAAAAAATGTTTAAAAAAATCATTATTATTTATTTTTTTAGGTTATTGAAAAGGCAAATTATGTGTTTTTAGAGACTAATCATATAGTCAGTATTATGAGATAAAAATAAATTTGAAAATAAAAGATAGAAACTTAATAAAATCAAATCCAATAAGCGATATGAGATTACTATTTTCAATTTTGTATTACAAAATCATTTTCTTTATACTTTTAGCTTTTCAAAGTTTATATAAGGGTGACTAACGATCATCATTTTCAAAATGAGATATATGACGTAATGTTTCTCCATATGATATGACGTCATGTCTCATTCCCAGTCCTTTATATTGCGTATACACACTCAGCAGATTCAAAACAAAATGGCTGCTGCGAAGATGAAAGACCCTCAGGAAAAGGTAAGAAAATATCTYTTTCTTCTACTCTTTGACCAGTTCAACTGAATCAAAATGATTTCCATGTTGTAGGTCGTTTATAGTCAAGATGGAGTGTTTGTCCATACATCGGTACCATCGCATGTCGCTAATATAATACCCGGYCGWGTCTGTTTGGTTGAGAAGGTACGKTTTRAAACGATCATATTTTGATTTTAACACTATTAGAAWTGYGGGTTTATAGATATATAAAGTTGCAAGAAATCTCCTTTGTTAACGATGTTAGTGGGAAAAGTGATTATTTTTGTAAGGGAAAAATGAAAAACACATTTGATATCGATTTCATCAGTATTAACTTAACTTAACTTACATGAAGATTGCTAGCTGCCTACCTGATCAAAAATTAAAATTYATCTYATTTATCTTACTGCACAACTATTTCTTTAGAAGCACCAATGTAGATCATGCTAATTTACCGCTAGTTTCCACCATTTTGATTATGAATAGATTGCAATAGTATTTATCACCTTACGTGATTATAATATTTGTTTGTTAGGATAACAATACTTTTGTTGATTGGTCACCGTGCCAGTTTGATGCTGATAATTATGAACTACAAACCAGTGACTGTGCTGARTGGGATCTCATTACACAAAATAAGCAATCAGGTCTGTAWT